TTGATATATAATCAAGGAGTGGGGGGGGGGCTGGAGGGTCTAGATATAATCAAGGAGTGGGGGGTGGCGGGTCTTGCTATATAATCAAGGAGTGGGAGGTGGAGGGTCTTGTCATATAATTGGGAGTGAAGGGTCTTGCTTTATAATCAAGGAGTGGGAGGGAGTGGAGGGTCTAGCTATATAATCAAGGAGTGGGGGGGGGGTGGCGGGTCTTGCCATATAATCAAGGAGTGGGAATAGAGGGTCCTGTCATATAATTAAGAAGTGGGAGTGGAGGGTCTTGCTTTGTAATCAAGGAGTGGGGTGCAGGGTCTTGCCATATAACCAAGGAGTGAGAGTGGAGGGTCTTGCCATATAATGACAGAGTGGGGGTTGGGGGGAGGTGCCGCCTATGAAAGGTTGGAGACTACTGCTACAGTGTGTGTCCCCCTCCATTGTTTGATTGTGAATAATTATTCTGAATACAAAACTATCTTACTTGCTGGGCTTATTCCCACCCCCCCCCCCCTTTTTTTTCTCCTGGCGGTATGAAACGGTACGCATCATATTTTTTCAGCCCTACTGTAACAAACACTTTGTGGTGAGCACCTGCACTTGTTTCGATTTAAAAAAACGCTACCTGCGATTCTTTTTACTGCGTGTGTGCGCGCGGTTACACATGTCCTTCTGTATATAGGTCCTTCTGACTAAATAAAGGTACATTTTGGCGGAGTCCCCTCGAAAATTGGTTACTGGAAGCGTTACCATGTTGCACTGTGTGACATTTTAACTTGATTACAAAGTTCTGTGTTCTGAATGTATTCGTATTACAAATCGACAAGCGGATATTGTGAAGTGGATATACAAGATTTTCAAACGCATAAATAGAGAAGGCCGTGGGTTACATTAACCCATTTTATCGCATCTGTTACTATATCTCATTCTGACCTATATCATCATCCTCGGGTGCCTTGCCGACTGGCGTGGGCGATTATGCCTCTCCACAATCCACGATCTCCTGCAACAGGTATCAGTTCGTGTGCTGTCCTACCTCCATGCCATGCAACAAAACTGTCAAGAATCTTCTTTTGCTGTCTTCCTCTATCCCTCCTCCCACAGATCATTCCAGTGGTCACAACATGTTCCATTTGCCCTCTTCTCATAACATGGCTGAAAAATGATGACTGTCGCCTTCTGATGTCTGTGATACGTCGTCTTCGGGCTCCCGCCTATTTCAAAACTTCTTGGCTGCTCCTTTTGGCTGTCCAAGGTATTTTAAGCTGTAACATCACATCTCTGAGGCCTCAAAAATTGTTTAGCCTGCCTACCGATTGTCCAAGACTCACAGCTGTCCTATAGATGTAGTCTTATTCTTCTTCAAGTTCCCTGGCTGTTAACTCTAGAGCAAAGTTCTGGCTGTTCGTTTACTTCTGGACTTTCGTCTCGTCTTAGAGTCTGAGTTTTTGTATGCACATCCGTTTTACAGATCTGGCTTATATGTATGCACAATGTTGATTCCTCGCCTTTCAGGCCGATGTACTTCGACTTCGAAGAAAACATCCACAATTAGTCGACTCTTAATAACAACGTGCTTGTTGTGGGGCAGCGGGTCTATCTCCATCCCTTCCCCCGACTCCCTGCTGTACAAATGGCGCCCTGAACTATCACAGACAATACACTATTTTACCTACTTTACAGTAAACGTCGGCGTCTGTGGCTAAGGCGTTGTGAACGCGCTTCGTAATGCCCCCTCCCTTCTTCGTCTGCTTCTGTAGTGAAGTCTCATTCTAGAACTGGAGTTTTACATGCGCACTCTGACTTTGAAAGACAGACCTCTACTTAACCTTTCATGACATACTGGGAGAGGGGGCCAGTGGGTCTATTATTGTTCCCGCACAAATGGGGCCCAGTACCCACACCGGGGTAATTATAACTGTTTTATACGGCTGAGTAGGGATGAGAATTAGTTGGGAAAGGAGGAAGGGGGGGGGGGCGTGGTGTTCTAGGATTTACCCACGTGGCTCTTCGAGTCACTCGATGTCAAACCACCAGGCTGCGATTAGAGAGCAATATTTAAAATAAAAAAAAAATAAAAACACACACACACAAGAAAAAACAGCGGATCCAAACTCCGCAATAGTCTCTGTCCAACAGGTAGCAAGTTCTTTCTCTGAAGAATTTGCCAGCACAGTGGTGTAATGGTCTACCTACTCTTTTGCGACGTTCACCTTCTGATGGGATTTTTTAGGTGAGCAACTTGCATAAGGACCCTTCTCCCCCGGTCACCCCTTTCCCAATTTTTTTTTTTTGGGGGGGGGGGGGGGGGGGGGGGGGATTTCACTGAAAACTGATCATGAGTTGGTATGATAAAATTTTGTGGGGAGTGGGATGTGTACTATTTTTACTATTACTGCGGCGTAAACCAAACCTGATATCCCATATTTATGCGAAACAGCGCACTAGGGGAGGATATTAGCCTGTTACCTCTGACAGTTATTGAAACATTCACAATGTTAATGAAGAAGATGAATTTTGAAAAAAAAAAATTGTTTTTGCTTAATGTGCCATGATAATTTTTTTAGTAGTGCCATGGTACTGTTATAAAAACTGTTCCCGAGGAAAAAATATTGCACCGACTGTGCATAAAAAAAACAACAACCATGTTCATAATTTACTAACCTTTAAAGCAAGCCCTTTGCTTGTTCGCTTATTATTACCTAACAGTATAATCATATGTTGTAGTAGTCTACTAATAGTAATATGAATCCTCAGTCATTTATATCAATGTCATGTATGATATGTGTGTTGCACTGCAGTTGCATGATCTATTTAATGTGTCTCTCGGACTTTCACAAAAACCAGGAATTTCTGTTGACCTAGTTGGCCTATCTACCCGGAGGTCACAATTAGCCTTAACCTAGGAAGAAGTCTTCCTTACCATGGAAGACATTTCTTATGCCAGCGGGTCTGGCTAGTCACACTCAACACTGTCACAGGCTGTGTGATTGTCATTCATCCATACAGCAGAATATAACACTATGACCAGAAAAGGCGGAAAGGTGCCACAGCATTAATACTGCTGACCAAACTGCACTCTTGGGATACTTCAAAATGATTAGCTTTATTAATAACTTCCTATATCCCAGTGTGGGTTCTGACGCCCCACTCTGTGTGTGTCTGTGTGTGTGTGTGTGTGCGCGGGCGTGTGGTTGGGTGGGGGGGGGGGAGGGGGAGAATAGATATACTGCTTCCATAACAAGCATGTCACAGGAGTCGACTAATTAGGGGTTTCCTTCGAAGTCGGTGTGTATCTGCCTGAGAAGAGAGGAACCAACAGTCTGTATACAAATAAGCCAGATCTGTTAAACAGATGTACATGCAAAACTCAAGTTCCGGGACAATTAAAACTAGAGGTGGACGAATGACCAGAACTTTCCACCAGAGTTTGAAGTAGGTGAATGCGAAGAAGAAGAAGAAGAAGAAGAAGAAGAAGAAGAAGAGGAGGAGAAGAAGAAGAAGAAGAAGAAGAAGAAGAAGAAGAAGAAGAAGAAGAAGAAGAGGAGGAGGAGGAGAAGAAGAAGAAGAAGAAGAAGAAGAAGAAGAAGAAGAGGAGGAGGAGGAGGAGGAGGAAGAGGAGGAGGAGAAGAAGAAGAAGAAGAAGAAGAAGAAGAAGAAGAAGAAGAAGAAGAAGAAGAAGAAGAAGAAGAAGAAGAAGAAGAAGAAGAAGAAGAAGAAGAAGAAGAAAATACTTCCTATATCTTCAAAAAAAAATTAATAATTCTAGACTTGCCAGTCTTTCAGCAGGTGTTACATGCTGAATCTACAAGAAGAATGTTTGTGTTTAAACTGCCACTCGGCCAGTCTGTCTCTGTGAGAGAGAAAACGGAACGAGGTAGGGTGGAGCAAGACAGACCTCTACAGTTTGTTGCTGCACATATTTCTTATGTAAGTGAATACTCAGGAATGTGTAAGCTGTGCAGAAATTACCACGTAGTAAGAATACAGAAGTCGGTGGTGCCTGTGTTTATGCATGTCTGTGTAAGGGAAGATGATGTTACGGAGTAACTGTTGTGTTACCAGATGTACAGAAGTTGCTAACTGATAAATATTTAGAAACTGCTGTGTCGCCAGATTTACTGTTGTTGCGTGGTAGGAAACTCTCGATGCCCAATGCCACACTTCTTGTTCTTATTACCGTTCCTAGTCTTCTTCTTCTCTTTCGTTCCTCTGATATCTTTTGTGTGATGTTTACAGCAGAACTGTGATATTTGCACCTTTGTATCCTAAGTGTCCCCATATAGGTAACGGGGCTCCATTTTGGAGAACAAAGAACAGACTCACTGCCCCCCCCCCCCCCAATCAAAGCATGTTGCAGAAGGCGAATAATTAGGAGTGGTACCTTTGAAGACAGAGTGCATCCATCTATGAGGTGTGGAACCAACAGTCTGCTTACAAAAGCAGAAAGCAGACCTGTAAGATGGATGTACAAGCAAAACTCAAGTTCAGGAACAAGACTAAAGTCAATAAACTTTCTGCCGCAGTTTACAGCTGGTGAATTCGAGAAACAAGAAAGAAGGAGAAGAAGAAAAAAAATAATAATTAGAAAAATAAAAAGATAAAGAAGAAGAAGAAGAAGAAGAAGAAGAAGAAGAAGAAGAAGAAGAAGAAGAAAAATAAGAAGACGAAGAAGAAAAAGAAGAAGAAGAAGAGAAAGACAGGTCCGCAGATTTGAGCTAACTAGGAAACACTGGTATACTTCCAGGGCCTCATTGTGGGGAAAAGAAGAATAGACCCACCAACAAGCATGTTGTAAAAGTCAACTAATTGGTGGCTTTCTTCAAAGTCATAGATTTTCTGTCCTAGAGGCAATGAACAACCAAATGCACACAAATAAGCCAGTAAAGAGGATGTACACCAAAAACTCAGGCCCTGGCACGGAGTTCAAAGTCGAAATGGACAAACAACCAGGACTTTCCGCCACAGCTTACAGCCGGTGAACAAAGAAGAAGAGGAATACATACCTTCATCATGTCATCGATCTCACTGATAACCTCATCAGCTGTGAGGATCTTGTCCTCCTCTTCAGGATGCAAGCTGCTGACAATCAGGGAATGCATATCAAAAGCCTGTGCTAGATCTTCATCGTCAGACAGGTCCAGGCATAGGGGCTGCTTGACCTCCTGCAACAACACAGAGACACCATGACAGACCCATGCATGTACAAGCAAAACACATGCAAGCTGCTGACAATCAGCGAATGCATATCAAAAGCCTGTGCTAGATCTTCATCGTCAGACAGGTCCAGGCATAGGGGCTGCTTGACCTCCTGCAACAACACAGAGACACCATGACAGACCCATGCATGTACAAGCAAAACACATGCAAGCTGCTGACAATCAGCGAATGCATATCAAAAGCCTGTGCTAGATCTTCATCGTCAGACAGGTCCAGGCATAGGGGCTGCTTGACCTCCTGCAACAACACAGAGACACCATGACAGACCCATGCATGTACAAGCAAAACACATGCAAGCTGCTGACAATCAGCGAATGCATATCAAAAGCCTGTGCTAGATCTTCATCGTCAGACAGGTCCAGGCATAGGGGCTGCTTGACCTCCTGCAACAACACAGAGACACCATGACAGACCCATGCATTCCCCCCCATGTTGGTTCTGGGGCCTCTATTTTGGAGATCAAAGAATAGACCCCCCACCCAACAAGCATGTAGCAGAAAGTGACTAATTAGGGGTGTTTCCCTCAAAGTCAGAATGCACCTTTCTGAGAGGTGAGAAACCAACACTCTGCACGCATATGAGACAGATCTGTAAAACGGACATGGACGCAAAACTCAAGTTCTGGATCAAGAACAAAGTCCAGAAGCTGATGAACAACCTTAACTTTACCTTAGAGTTTACAGCCGGTGAATGCAAACAAGAAGAAAGAAAAAGAGTCCTTTATATAAACTGACTTTAATCATATCTTTTCCTCTTGGTGTTTGTATATGGTCTTGGCTTTCATTGTTACAGTTAAAACTAGAGTGATTTTCTTCTCGCTTTTTAGACTTTTTTTCCCCTTTATTATTTGCCTTTTAAATTCAACTTTCTCAAATTTAATCCGTTAATTCAATTTAAAAATTGAAAATAAGAAGTTTTCATCACTACAACACTAAATGCCCAGAAGACGACGATGCATTAATACAATAGGATCAGTACAAAATCTACTTGCTTATATTGCAACAATGCATGTACTTGTGATCATCTTGTATTTAGAGAATCAGTGACAGGTGACTGGACAACTGTTTGTAAAACAGTAAAACCTTGTAAACATGAATTCAAGGAAACCAAAAATAAATTTCTTGTTTTTAAAAAAAAAACATGTGCTATCCACGGATTAATAATAATAATAATACATCCCTTCAAGGACCAAAATGTTATTCATGCCAACCGAAAATTCATGTCAACAAGGTTTTATTTGTGTGTTAGATGGGTGGCGGGAGTAAAAGAGAGCCTACTAAAATGCAATATGAAATTAACACAAACTAAGAAACTAGCAAAAGATACGAAACTACATCTAACTCCTCTCTGCTACACTTTGGGAGGTGCATGGTCTCGAGGCATGGTTTCCACATCAAATGCTAGAGGTTCCGGGTTTGAACCCCGGTAAGGCTGAGATTTTTTTACTTGAACTTGGATTTTTAGTAATTCCCCCTGCTCTCTGGGTAGTGTGCATTGTTGCGAACACAAAAAAATCCCTTGGCAGTTGGTTATCGAAAAGAGTATCCTAATGGCGCTACCTGGGCAAAATGTTGAATTAAAAATCTACCCAAAGTATTTCAGGATCCTCACTGGTGCTACAGAGCCTGTGCATTGTGCTGAGCTTCTGTGGACCTAAACTTGAGTTAGAAGAAGAACGGAGCACTTATGGGTTTATCCATTGTTCAAAACCTCAAAAACCTCTGCTACACTTTATGGAATAAGCAGTAGGACAACAGAAGAAGGTAGAGAAAGTAAACAAAATAATGATTTAAAATGGTCAGTTTGCTTCCACATGCCTTTTCACAGATTTCACTCACACACACATACACACACACGCACGCACGCATGCGCGCGCACATATATATGTGCGTGTGTGTGTGTGTGTATATGTATATATATGTATGTATATTCAGACCTGAGGCCCACCCCCCACTCAATTATTTGCTAACAAAATGTGTAATTTGTGAGGAGGGCATGATTTATTTTGGGATCCCTCAATGTTTTCTTAGATAACTGGGAAATGGATGAAACAAGGGTGGGGGGGGGGGGGAGAGGGCTCCTTAAATGTTAATTTTTTGGTGCCGTGCCTAGTACCGGCACCTTTTTAAAGAAAAAAATCCCCAGGAGGACCTATACTTAATTGGTGGAGAGAGGTTAGAATAAGAAGTCCACATGCATCATTAACTAATACTCTTGTAATTGCTGTTATAATAATAATTTTGTAAAGTCCCCATAATGGAGGGTGGCTGCATCAGTAATGTGCACTCACAGCTAACTTTCGGAATATTAATACTGTGGTCAATCCCAAACCTCATCCATGAAACGAAACTTTTTAAAAGCAATGAGAAGAGTATTTTTCTAAACTGGAATCAAACACTCGTACACTGAGGATTATGAAATTACAACACAATTTATTAAGTATCCTTTAAAGCTAAACACAGAAAAAGAACAAGAAGAAGAAGAACAACAAGAAGCAGAAGAAGATTATGAAGAAAAGGGAGCGGATAAAATGAAGAAGAAGAAAAAGAAATTAAAGTAAAATAAACTGGATTTACCTGCTGCTCTTCCAGATTAAGCACTCGATTGTGCAGAGTTCTTGTATATGATTTGGACCAATCAATCGGCAAAATGTTCCCAAAATTTCCTGTGATAGTCCACCACATCCTAGAGAGAAAAAAAAAGAAGATAATTAAGCTTTAAAGCAAGTAAAATCAAGTAAAGGAAGTACAGGACACTTTTCAGGCCACAGGTACATCCAACATATGGTGCTAGTCCATATTTTCATACACCACACGGTACTCAATGAGTAATGTTGTTGTTATCGATCCAGCGGCGCATGAGCTTTCGCCCTTTGGCCCAATGCCATGTAGTGGAATTTGCATGTTTTCACAAGCTGTTCTTTTCCTCCGTACAAGGTGTTCCACTTGTCTGGTCTCGGAGGGAGTAGAATGAGTAATGAGGTCAACATCACCCCAGGGATCTCTATTTCCCAGGACATTTCCTTGTATCTGTTTTTGGTTCGGTCAACCTAGAAGCCCATGGGAAATATACAAAATGTCTTCCTGTGCGGATTCTGTTGCTCATTGTGGAGAAGAACAAGAACAGTCCCATTGCCTCCCACAAGCCTGTCAACTAATTAGGGGGTTTCCTCTGAAGTGAGAGTGCATCTGCCTGAGAGGCAAGGAACCAACAATCTACATACAAATATGCCAGATCTGTACAAAAGATGTGCACACAGCACTTAAGTACTGGAACAAGGATAAAGTCCAGAGACTACTTCCACCCACTGCTCCTTAACAAACAAGTTATAAAAGATGAATAATTACAGATTTGCTGGATGGGTTGGGTCGAAAGGTTCAAATATTACAGCCTAGCTGTAAGCTACAACACAATATGCCAACCACCATGATAAGTCTTGTCATGCATCAATTTACTATCAAGTGACACAGAACCAGCCAGTATGTCTGGCCTTTTTATTTCCTAACATACCTGAATGCCCTGGAGAGAATATCTAAGACACTAACTACCAGGAGTCTCTGAAGCAAGGCAGTTGGCTGTCAAGCCCGGGTCTTACTAATGTGCAGTAAGTGTTATCTGGAGAGTATGGCAAAATCGTTAGTATGCCAGGCTCTCATTCAGGAGATCTGGTTTGAATCCTTCATCAGAAAGGTGATGGAATTTCGGTTCTTTCCTAATAGCCTACCCCCAGATGACGTCACAGGACAGTCCAACATTTTAGAGGGTGGTAAGAGTGGGTTTCCTAGCTTTATGATGCTTGTAACGACGCCGAAACATCTAGAACTGGCCCTAACCCTAACCCACCTACATCCTACGAGAAAGTGCAGCCTAGGTCCCACGACTGCATAAAGCCTAGGTCCCACGACTGCATAAAGCCTAGGTCCCACGTCTGCATGCAACCTATCTACCTACCCTGAAATATTACTGTCCAGTGACCTGTGGATTTCCCCCGTTTGGGGTAAGATATTAAGAAAGCACTGGAAATTCCCCCCCCCCCCCCACACACACCCACACACACACACAAAAACTTTCGACTCTGCAAAGTTTGTGGCGACTGCACTAGCCACGAGACCCTACATTTTCAGACTCTCAATGCCACCCTTGCCCTACGGCAACCTAAACAGTGGTATAATTAGAGCTATAGTAGAAAACAGTTTTTAGCTGTCCGCTAGACAGGCAGTTAGCGCACTGTCTTTTGCACTATAAAGAAGACAACTGGAAATATCCCTGGAAAGGGAGGGGGGGGGGGGAATTACAAAGCATAAATGTCCACAGCCTGGGCAGGAAAATTCAAACAAGATCACAGTGCCTTGAAGAACAGCCTGCTGCAGTGGGCAAGAAAATGTCTGACAGTGTTTTAAGATTATTGGTTTTGAAGTACTGTCCTGCTGCAGTGGGTAAGAGAAATAAATTAGACGAGAACTAGGACTGAAACCAGTCACATAATTCATTAACAGATGCAATGTTCTGGCCCTCTGACAAGTAATGCGCTCGGTACCAACTGCCATAAAGAGTCACGCTGAAAAAAAATATAATGAACACAGAGCAAAGGAAAGACCATGCAAATTATGGAATGACAGCATCGAGATCGGCCATAAAGAAATGAAGATCAACTTATACTACACAGCAAAAACAGCACATCTACCTCCAACACTTCAATGAGGAAGAGAAGAAGAAGACTTCATACTGTAAGGAAAGAACCTATTCTACTACTTTAGATTTATGAAGTATATGGTGCTAGCCCCATAATGTTACAGACCATGGCCAACTCTAGATATAAATAGGTAGGTATATCCGCTTGTAGATGTGTAATACAAATACGTTTAGAACACAGGACTTTGTAAGCATATTAAAATGTCACACAATGCAACATGGAAACGATTCCAGTAACCTATTTTCGAGGGGACTCCTCGAAAATGTACCGTGATTCAGTTGTCAGAACTGAATTTACAGCCGGATGTGTTACAGACCAATCAGCAATCGATAAGCGATACCAATATCACACCGGCTGCTTTTACTTCCAGAAACGTTTTCTGCTGCCTGTTTTAGAATAGGGAGATCTCGGAGCAAACCAAGTTTTTTTTTAAAAACATTAACGAAAATCTAAACACATTAACACGAGCCCGGTAGATAAGCATATTAGCAACTTTGCCACCCTGGTTCTAATGTAGTATAGAATGACAAAATTACGCTCGTTCTCACAATTTGTATACCCATTTATCTCCAATCCATCCATCCATCCATCCATCCATCCATCCATCCTATCCATCCATCTATCTATCTATCTATCTATCTATCTATCTATCTATCTATCTATCTATCTATCTATCTATCTATCTATCTATCTATCTATCTATCTATCTATCTATCCCTTTCTGTATTTCTTTCCAGAGTAAATAATATAGAGAGCCTTTTAATACCATAAACACACTCCAAGGGAAACATTTCTATCCGGCGCTGCAATAAAGATAGCAGCCGAGATCTTGCTGGAACTTCACTTACCTTCACAAAAATGACTCGCAAATAGCCATATTAAAGCCGTCTCTCTCGACTAACGTGTTCCACATTCATTTAGCACCATCTGCGATAGGTGCACACAACTATGCTTACCGCTGGTCCGTCGTCATCTCGCCAGGGCAGGCTGTGATTTCGGCGTTAAAACGTGTCTTATAAGCATCACAAAACCCAGTTGCGCAATTCCACACTTCCGACGCTCAAACCATTCATTGATCTGTTCGCCTGCTTTAAAAAATATTATTTCCAATTTTTTTTTCAATGACGTCATAATACTCCTATTTCCAGCGGCTTCCGTCTGGCATTTTCTGGGGCGTCAATTACTGAAGCACAACTATTGCGTTGTTATTCGTTTTACTTGTTCTCAATCATTATCCTCCCAGATCGACATCGTCGACCACCTGGGCGAGTCATTGTGACGGAATGGAGCGGGAAAAAAGGGAAAAAGGGGGGGGGGGGGGAGAGAGAGAGAGAGAGAGAGAGAGAGAGAGAGAGAGAGAGAGAGGTGCAGGAACGAATAATGAACTTTATTTTCCAAAGGGTTACACATTAGGCATGCAGGCCCGTCTTACACCTGGCCCTTTCGAGCATTCATTTTTATTCTTCTTCTTCTTCTTCTTCTTCTTCTTCTTCTTCTTCTTCGTGTTCACCGGCCGTGAACTCCGGCGGAAAGTTCTGGTTGTTTGTCAACCTCCGGACTGCAGTCCTGTTCCAGAACCTGAGTGTTACGGGTGCATCCGTTTGATAGATATGTATGCAGACTGTTGGTTCCTCGCCTCTCAGGCAGATGCACTCCGACTTCGAAGGAAGCTCCCAATTAGTCGACTCTTACGACATGCTTTTGGGTAGGCAGTGGGTCTATTCTTGTTTTTCCCATAGTAGGTCCCCGGAACCCACACGGGGGATTCATTTTTCATTCGGCAACTGTATTTTATAGATCAAGCATACTGTGTTCACATGTCAAAATTCAAAGTAAAGTAAAAATACAAAGGCGTGGATGATACATGCAAACCTTCAATATACATGCACAAATACTCACACATCGCAGACATACACAAGCACACACACATATATTCAACACCCTTACAGACAGACAGACAGACAGACAGACAGGCAGGCAGGCAGGCAGGCAGGCAGGCACAGACAAACAGACAGACAGACAGACAGACAGACAGACAGACAGACAGACAGACAGACAGACAGACAGACAGACAGACAGACAGACAGAAAGACAGACAGACAGACAGACAGCGACAGACAGACAGACAGACAGACAGACAGACAGACAGACAGACAGACAGACAGACAGACAGACAGACAGACAGACAGACAGACAGACAGACAGACAGACAGACAGACAGACAGACAGACAGACAGACAGACAGACAGACAGACAGACAGACAGACAGATAGATAGATAGATAGATAGATAGATAGATAGATAGATAGATAGATAGATAGATAGATAGATAGATAGATAGATAGATAGATAGATAGATAGATAGATAGATAGATAGATAGATAGATAGATAGATAGATAGATAGATAGATAGATAGATAGATAGAGAGCGAAAGAGGGAGTTAAAAGAGAGAAGGAAAGAGAGAGAAATCAGGCTCAGTATACTGCTCAATACCTAGTATTAAAGATATTCTTTTTGAAAATAAATTGTGTTCGCTCTTCTTCATCTCCTCCCCCCCCCACCCCCCCCCCGCCCCCTTTCTTCTGTCTGACATTTTCTGGCGTCAGTTACAGAAGCAGAAACATGTTCGCAATCACTATCTGTCAGATCGAAGCCGTCAGCTACATGAGTCAGGCAGGTGTGACGGATTGAAATAGTTTTTTTCCTGTCACAAAGTAAAGACGGGGACAGAGACGTGATATCCAAGCGCGATACATTGCTCAATGTCTAATATGATGTCTTCTATCATTTTTATTTAGTTTTCCTGCTTCCCGCGTGGGGAAGCATAGACCAACCGTCGCCTTCACAAGCATGTCGTAAGAGGTGACTAATTAGGGGTTTGCTGAAGTCGGATGTGTGGAGTCGAAAGGGAAAGATATCTCAGTGTGGTTATAAATAAACACATAGCGTGCCACGGGGGGAATATTGCTGTTGTTGTAGTAAAAAAAAAG